CGCAAACAACAAATGACTCCACCCCCTTTCTTAGTTTTTCACACAAGCTCTTTTATTGTAGTTTGTTTTAGGATCTGCCAGACGTGAAGACGGAAGACACAGAAGATACCTAAAAGCTCAAACCGAGATACGTTATAGAGAGGCGGAGCCACCGACACCAGGGACACAATGGCGGATTGCGCAATCAAAACGCGGCAGTTTCTGCACTTCTGGTAATCGGGACATTCGGCGTTCCCCCCCTTTACCCCCCCCCATTTTACCTCAATTTTTGGTAAGACTCTCCAACTGAAACGTCACACAGAGGAGGGGGGAGGAGCTACTCTCCTACCATGTCAACATCTCTGCTTGAGTTATTGAGCTCTGTAAATGCACCTTAAAGTTACCCTGTCAGATCAATACCTTCCAGACACACCTCTCTCCGGTGACCGACGTCTACTACCCACAGTCCTTTGCACTACTCCTGAGGAATAGAGACACCGTCGTTGGCAGTGCACACAGTCCGTCTACAGTCCCGGTAACGCCAAGATCGGGCGGTGGCATTTGCCCGGTTTCTGCCCCGAGTCCCTCAGCCCTGATACAAGCAGTGGGGGGAGTTATGCAAATAAGAAAATGCCTAGAGGGGTAGGTGGGGATCTGAATAAGTGGGTGTGCCTAGGCAGGCTGCACCCTAGGTAACGCCTAGGGATGCACCGATACCACTTTTTTACGACCGAGTACGAGTACCGATACTTTGGATCAAGTACTCGCCGATACCAATTACCGATACTTTTCTTAAAGGAACAGGTCACATTTTTTCTAAAGCAATACAAACTAATGATTTAAGGTCAGTTTCTTAATATTATGATTCATGAGATGACGAGGGAGCATGACGCCGGCTTCCTGGCCAATCAGAATGCCGGACGCTGCGTCATTACACGGCGCCCGGCTTCCGGATTTGCTAGCTTCCTGACCAATCGGGAAGCCAGGCAGAGCGACATTACACGCTAGCCGGCTTCCTGATTGGCCGGGAAATCGGCTCCATGCTCTCTCATCACAAGCGACGAGAGAGCATGGAGCCGTTTCCCGGCCAATCAGAAAACCGGGCGCCGTGTAATGATGCGCAGCCCGGCTTCCTGATACAGGAAGTACTCGTGCTGGGTATCGGAGCATTTGGGCGAGTACGAGTACTCACCCAAATACTCGGTATCGGCACCGATACTAGTATCGGTGCATCCCTAGTAACGCCCACTTAGGACACTGAGCCTCCATGCCTGAAAGAACTGACGTCCAATGAATGAAAGGGGGCGGGCCCAGGACTGTCAGGCTGGGAAGGAAGGAGCTAGATAATGCTGGAGGTCCCCCAGCCAGGAAATGAGGCGGAGCTCTATCTGACTTGCTGCAGCTTCTAATGCACATTGTGAGATGCTCCCGGTGTGCGGTGACATCAGAGGAGATGGGAGGAGCCGGTACAACTGTGTAGGGAAGGTCGGAGGTCCGCTTTCAGAGCTCGTTATGTCTAGGTGATGATGAAAATTGTCAATGACTTGCATGAAATTCCTTGCTCCCCCAGCAGGTGGCGCTCCGATTTGCTCTTGGGGGAAGCCTATAGGAGTGAGGAACATGGTAATTATTAGGGATGCACCGATACTAGTATCGATATTGGTGCCGATACCGAGTATTGGGGTGAGTACTTGTACTCGGCCAAATGCTCCGATACCGGAACTGACGGTCAGTGCCGAGGGAGCATGAAGCCGGCTTCCTTTCCAATCAGGAGGCCGGTAGGGAGGTTGTGACGCGCCTCCCGGCTTCTTGATTGGCTTCACTTGCTGATAGCCAGCCTGGCGGCACGTAATGACCCGCCTCCCTCGCTTCCTGATTGGTCAGCAAGGCAGGCTGCCTAGGAACAAGTGAAGCCGGCTTACTGTAACCTAGCAGCGTGGCTTCCTGAGCGATCAGGAAGCGAGGGAGGCGGAACATGACATGCTAGGATGCCGGTTTCACTTGTTGCCAGGCAGCCAGGCTTCCTAACCCATCAGGAAGCCGGGCGGCACGTAATGACCCGCCTCCCTCGCTTCCTGATTGGTCAGCAAGCCAGGCTGCCTAGGAACAAGTGAAGCCGGTTTCCTGTTGCTGCGCACACAACTCCAGTCACCTCAAGACAATCTCTATGATGTCAACAGGGTTTCCGGGAGGGAAGTTCTGAGAGAAGAACAATAAACTCCAGAATGTTGCCTAGACAAGACACTCAGCTGACGTACCCAGGAAGACCAGATCCCTACAGCAGTTCCAAGAGTTCCCAAGTGGCCCCCAAACTTCACGGGCCCCCGCTCCTTGATTTAACAAGCCTCGGCTCCCTTTGGAGCCATTCCCTGCACCGCGTCCCATCACTCCTGCGAGTTCTCCGGCGTCTCCCCGCTTTCGGATACCTCGTTCGGGCTGTCCTGGCCGCCGGGCCCCTCGGCTTCTTTGTGGAGCTGCGTGTGTTTGACGAGCTGCGTCTTTCTCTGGAACCGTTTCCCGCACTGCAAACAAGGGAAGGGTCGCTCGCCCGTGTGCGTCCTCCGGTGCGCCACCAGGTCCGCGTGGCGCGAGAAACATTTGCTGCACTCTGAGCACGAGTGTGGTTTCTCTCCCGTGTGAATCCTCATGTGGTTGACCAACGTCGGCTTGTGGCCAAAGCTTTTCCCGCACACCGAGCAGGAAAATGGCTTCTCTCCCGTGTGAGATCTTTGGTGGGCGATCAGTTGGGACTCCACCGCATAGTTCTTTCCGCAGTAGGAGCAGGTGTACGGTTTGGCTCCCACGTGCCCCCTCAGGTGCTGGACGAGCTGCGACTTGCCCCGAAAGCATTTCCCGCAGTGGGTGCACGCGTACGGCTTCACCCCCGTGTGAACCTTCCAGTGTTTATTCAGTCCCGACTTACCGGAGAAACACTTCCCGCACTCCGAGCAGGAGTACGGCTTCTCTCCCGTGTGATACCGCTCGTGAGCGGTGAGCTGCGACCTGTCCACGAAGCACTTCCCGCAGTCCGGGCAGGAGAAAGGACGCTCCCCCGTGTGAGACCGCCGATGCCTCAGGAGGTGAGACTTCCGGGAGAAGCCCTTGCCACATTCGAAGCAGGAGAAAGGGAACTCCCCGGAGTGAGTGAACTGGTGGGTCTGCAGGTCGGACTTCTTGGAGAAACCTCTCCCGCACTCGGGGCATTTGAACGGCCGGTCGCCGATGTGAGTGGTCTGGTGCACGTTGAGATGCGTCCTGCGCAGGAAGCGCTTCCCGCAGATGAGGCACGGGAACGGCCGCTCCCCGGTGTGGACTTTCTGGTGGCCGCGGAGAGTGGATTTGGACGTGAAGCTTTTCCCGCATTCTGAACAAGAAAACATCTCGCCAACCTGATCACAGGCCCGGTGGTCCCCGGAGTCCATTTCACCGAGGGATGCTTCTTCGGGATTAGAGGGATCTGCTACACTGTTACGTTCCGGGTGGACATTCCGAGTGAGAAGTTCACGGCTCGGGTCTTCGGGGTTATAGGCGTCTGGAGACCCACCTGCCCGGTGAAGTCCGGTGTGGACGTTCGGAGCGATGGGTTTCTCTACTAGATAATCAGGCGTGAAGTCATCATCCTCCGTTTTCCGATAGGGAGGTATGGAGAGACATCGTTGCAGGGGGTTCTTGACTCGGTGTCCATACGCTGAACAAAAAACAAAGAGTTAGCAGCTTGAGGGGACTCAACTCCATCCCATGATCGGCCAACTCAACACCAGTCCGGGTGCCGTCACCCAGTGATCGGTAAAAGAAGGATTTTGGAGTTGATCACTTACCCGTCTCGAAGTCCGAAGAAAAGTCCTCCTCTTTAATGGTCACCATCATCACTTCCTCCTCCGTAGACGGCGCATCACCCGTCACATAGACCTCTTCTTCCCCCTTTGTACCGCCAACTTTCAGATCAACCCGTTCTTTGACCTAAAACCACCAACATGGACATGGAATTTGTAAGCTCCACCTATCATCGCTCGACGAGTTTCGAGACTCTCGGTTCCACCTACCTGATCTTGGTGGGGGATGGTGAGATCTTCCTGGGTGGAGTCCCGGGAGTACAGAGGACGGGGACATCTCTCATGGTGGGGGACGGTAAGATCTTCCTGGGTGGGATCCCGGGAATACAGGGGGCGGGGACATCTCTCTGGTGGGTTCCTCTTACTGGATCCATCTGTAGGAAACACACACACTGACTGAATACATTGTTTCTATGTGTGTATCAGATGATGGGGGATGTAGGCGGAGCCTCCGTACTGCTCTCTCCTCTTACCCGGTGATGTGAGGGGCGGGGCATTCTCCATCACCACGTCCTTGTAGAGATCCCGGTGTCCTTCCAGATACTCCAACTCCTCTGTGACCTCATCCTCCTCATCTATATCATCCTTAATCTCTTCTTTAACAATAACAGTAAAATCAGTCAGGCTTCCACTCTGAATGTATAAGAGAAAATAATAGTAACAAGGCAGCAGGTGTACCGAGCCGAACCCCAACCCACATCATCGATGGTCAATCTTCTACCTGACGATGACGTGGGGCCTTCTGGTCCTCCATCACCACGTCCTTGTAGAGATCCCGGTGTCCTTCTAGATACTCCCACTCCTCCATGGAGAGATAGACAGAGACATCCTGACACCTTATAGGAACCTGACACACACAATGATACCGTCACCACCCAGACACGCCCCTTGTCTGTTCCTGGATCATGTCCCAGAATCCCCGGCCCCGCCCACCTCTCCCGTCACCACCCAGACACACCCCTTGTCTGTTCCTGGATCATGTCCCAGAATCCCCGGCACCGCTCACCTCTCCCGTCACCACCCAGACACGCCCCTTGTCTGTTCCTGGATCATGTCCCAGAATCCCCGGCACCGCTCACCTCTCCCGTCAGCAGCTCCATCATCTTCTGGGTGACTTCTAGAATCTTCTCCATGTTGGGTCTCTCAGGAGCGAAGGAGTGAGGTGGAGGTATTGTGATGGTCACCTGATCACCGGACTTCTTGACGGCACGGAAACTCTATCAAAATAGAAAAAAGTCATGTGACCTCCCAGAATCCTCCTCACCCCTCCGGTCAGGTCATGTGACCTCCCAGAATCCTCCTCACCCCTCCGGTCAGGTCTGTGTTTTATGAATAGAGATCAGAGTGATGTCATGTGACCTCCCAGAATCCTCCTCACCTCTCCGGCCAGGTCTGTGTTTTATGAATAGAGATCAGAGTGATGTCATGTGACCTCTCAGAATCCTCCTCACCCCTCCGGTCAGGTCTGTGTGTTATGAATAGAGATCAGAGTGATGTCATGTGACCTCCCAGAATCCTCCTCACCTCTGTGGCCAGAAGACAGATGACCTCCAGGGCGAGGTCAAATACCCTTTCCATTACGTGACTCTTTTCCGCCCTCCGTACCATCGTAAGGTGGCCTATGTAAGAAGTCTTCTTCTCCGAGGGGGTCTCGGTCTCAGGATCTTCTGCGGCGCTCACAGCTCAGCTGACCTATGAAGCGGTGAGAAGCAGGCGGCATTATATGTGGAATCTACATACATGTATAGAGCATTAAGGAATGGACATCGGGGTGATTTCCAGAGTCTGGTCTCCAGGGGGTCCTCCAGTGGTCTGTTAGAGACTGATAGGAGTCCTTGGAACTATAGAAGGGGACCTCTCAACACTGAAGAACCCAGAAGAAGCTGGAGGTGGTCAGTCCAGTTGTCACTCTGGGGTGGACTGACCCTTTAAGGTTCATACAGTGTGACCCTCCGCAGTATAAAGTTCTTGGATCAGCGTTAGGAGCCTCAGTAGAAGTCACCTACCCAAATACTGACCTTCAGCCTCCAACCAGACATCACCCCAACCCCACATAGTCTTTGCAGAATGACGTCCCAGTTGTGTCCAACTTCTACTGCTAGGGGTTCTTCTCAAACCATTTCCATGGCTGGTCTCTGGGGGCCACCATGCTGGTCCATGGCATGGTGGCCCCCAGAGATCTAGACGAGTACTGACCAGTGGAGTGGCCTGGAGCTGGTCCCTGCTGGGACATCTTTGGGCACAGAGGGTCATGCAGTGAAGTGCTCGGGAATTGAGGTAAGTGTTTGGGTAGGTGGTTCAGATGCTCACAGGTGGGGGGTAGGCTGGGACTGGACCAGGAAAAGATGATGGAGCTCCAGAGATCACCGGTAGAGTTTATCCCGGTGGCTGATGGAAGGACAGAACAGGCGGAAGGGGGAAAAAAAGGGGCGGGATTGGCTGGAAGGGGCCCATGTTTGGGTTCCTCCTCCCCTAATCAGTGCAGACCTGGCTGTGGCACATGCAACAATACTGGACAATTGCTGGTCACATGACAGGACCCCAATCACCCAACATGGCTGTGAGAACCCCCAATGGGAAAAGGAGTTCAGTCTATAGGTAACCCCGCCTACTCCTCCTGCACAGCGACCCCCGCCTACTCCTGCACGATAATCCTGACTCCTCCTCCTGCACAGTGACCCCGCCTACTCCTCCTGCACGATAATGCTGACTCCTCCTCCTGCAAAGTGACCCCGCCTACTCCTCCTCCACGATAATGCTGACTCCTCCTCCTGCAAAGTGACCCCGCCTACTCCTCCTCCACGATAATGCTGACTCCTCCTCCTGCAAAGTGACCCCGCCTACTCCTCCTCCACGATAATGCTGACTCCTCCTCCTGCAAAGTGACCCCGCCTACTCCACCTACACGATAATGCTGACCCCCTCCTCCTGTACAGTGACCCCGCCACTCCTCCTCTACAGTGACCCCGCCACTCCTCCTGCATGATAATCCTGACTCCTCCTCCTCCTGCACAATAATGCTGACTCCTCCTCCTGTACAGTGACCCCGCCACTCCTCCTGCATGATAATACTGACTCCTCCTCCTGTACACTGAACCCGCCTACTCCTGCACAGTGACCACACCTACTCCTGCAAGATAATCCTGACTCCTCCTCCTCCTGCACAGTGACCACACCTACTCCTGCACGATAATCCTGACTCCTCCTCCTCCTGCACAGTGATCCCGCCTACTCCTGCACTATAATAGATTACTCCTCCTGCAGGATAATCCTGGCTCCTCCTCCTGTAGTGACCCCGCCTACTCCTCCTGCACACCAGAGGAGGGATCCTCATAATTGTAGGGGCGTCTCTCTCTCACTACGGGGTGGCAGATCTCGGGGGTCCCGCCCACTGTGTCCTCCGATTGGCCAATAACTGTTCTGGTTCGCTCTACCCAGCAGGAAGGGGGCACTGGCGGACTCCCATAGACAGCCATACTCCATGTGAGGATGTCCACCTGAGGAGGAACTCCGACCTTCACCCAGCAGACCATATAACAATATACAAGAGACAGAACATTTATATAAACTAATTATAAGATAGATACACACAATGTATATCCAATGTAAACATATAAAATACAACACACACACACTATACAATGAACATATATACACTGCACAGACACAATGTATATACAATGTACACACACACAGGGCCGCATGGAGTATGCAATCTCCTATGAAGGAACACAAATACTGACCAGCAACTTCTTCACCTCTCCATAAGCAGCCATGGCCCACCTCCCCTTTATAACGCCACGCCCACTTCCGCCCCGTGACACGCAGGCTTCTTCCGCCCTGTGCGTTCCACGTCTCTCCTCCGGCAGGTGCCAGTATCCAAAATGGCCGCTGGTGACGTACAGGAGGTATGGTGGCCCGCAGGCGGCCATTTTGTCGTAGCCCTCCGACTCCTCAGGCACACAGTGTTTCTCCGCAGGGGGGGGTGGTTATGGGACATGGATATAGATTATAGAGGTGATTTGGGCCTCTTTTTTTGAATCTTACAGACACTGAGAGGATGTGTTAAAGAGGACCTGTGGTGACACTGAACAGAGGAAAGTGAAGTTACATTGGATAGTGGGCACCCCAAATACCAGGACGGGGCCCGAGGTGCACAGTCACTGTGTTGCTATGGTCATATTGCGGGGTGCACCCGTCGGGGGTCAGTGGATAGGTGGGAGCCGGGCGCACCGTCGGGGGTCAGTGGATAGGTGGGAGCCGGGCGCACCGTCGGGGGTCAGTGGATAGGTGGGAGCCGGGCGCACCGTCGGGGGTCAGTGGATAGGTGGGAGCCGGGCGCACCGTCGGGGGTCAGTGGATAGGTGGGAGCCGGGCGCACCGTCGGGGGTCAGTGGATAGGTGGGAGCCGGGCGCACCGTCGGGGGTCAGTGGATAGGTGGGAGCCGGGCGCACCGTCGGGGGTCAGTGGATAGGTGGGAGCCGGGCGCACCGTCGGGGGTCAGTGGATAGGTGGGAGCCGGGCGCACCGTCGGGGGTCAGTGGATAGGTGGGAGCCGGGCGCACCGTCGGGGGTCAGTGGATAGGTGGGAGCCGTGGGGGCGGGATAGGGGGTCCCCAGAGTAGTACAAAAAAAAAAATAAGTACATAAAAAAGGATAAATTTACCAAGTCCAGTAAAAATGCCGCTTGACAATACATCAAAAGGATGCAACCAACACATTTTGGGGCTCAAAAACCCCTCTTCCATAGGGATCGGGCGATCGTTGTGGTATACTGGACAGCCAACTGGTGGCCTCCAAACAGGAGGATGAGAGCAGTTGCTGGTAGCCAGTCTTACAACACATGTAGCACTTGAGGTGGGGTAGATTTGAGTACCCGAATGAGGTGGGGGGTATCTTTGTGTCCCAGAAGAAAGGGGGGAGT